AGTTTTTAATGAAAGATAATTCAGCGTAATAAGTTGGGAAATAGCAAGCAGGGTAAAGCGAAGCCAAGCCGAATTGAATATTTCTAAAATCATTAGTGTCTTGTTTTATTTGGAGCAGGATTAGTACTCGGTTGGACCTCGCCTGTCTATACAAGCGTCACCAGTGGATGTCTCTCATGAATACTCAGTGTTTATGCGACATGATCTCTTTAACTGGTTTAGGCTGTAAATTAAATCGCGTCACATTTATTTATATAAGGGGTTTCAATTGACAGAAGCTTTTGATAAAATTCTATACAGGGTGGTATACATATAGCTCGCCTCGATTGAGGACAAAAGCGTCATGCTTCGAAATTATAATTGTGCTAAAGAGAAATTATAGTTAGGTAGTTAAATAGAATCAGCCGAGAATGGAAAGATATACCTAGTTTGCAATCGTTAGCAAACGTTAGAAATACAACAAATATTAAATAGTCAAGTTAATCTGCAGCCATGGCAGTCAACTATAGAGCTTGACGAACCAAGCGAAAATATTTAATATCTGAAGTAAGACAAAACTACAAACATAACTTTATCTGGGTTTCCAGAGTGGCGTTAAATCGCGTCATAAAATAGTGAAGGTTTATAGAACGCAGCGGGATTGGCTTATCTGGTCCCCAGGGAGCGATCTACGATCGAGGCGACACACGACAGCCGCGCTAAATGTGCTCCGTGCTCTGAGCAGATGTCACTCAACATTGCGAGCACAATCTGACGTGTGCTTGTACTGACCAGCCGTCACATTACTCGTAGGTACTCATCTATGAGGTTTATTTAACACAATTACTTTTACGTGTATGTACAAAGTATCGACAAAGCTATTTTCAATGCAAAACATTATGTTTTATGTCAGTCAATAAAACCATAAATAATAATAATTGTTATTTTATGTTTAAGTAGTTGTTGTAAATAGCAAAGATGTTAATAGGTGACAGTTCAATGTTCTTTGTATCTTATCAAGCCCACACTGTAGGCACTCGAGTGGACCAGCAGCAGTTATCATAATTATAATAAACAAACATGAACTTATAAATAACCAGTGATGACCTCACACTGGGGGAATAACATTCCGCCAAAGTTTGTTATTGCTATTGTTATCATTACTATAAGAACCTGTCATCATCCAAATAATGGTACCGTTCTCGAGTAGTGAGACTTACGAATATAAATTTATTTGTATAATTGAAGATGTCACACTCATTGAGACGTTGCTTACGCGAAGCACTTGGATTTTAATGTACTCCATTAGTCTCTCGACGAAATGAAAAGTAAAAAATGAAATATATCAATTATTGGGTCGGCCCATGACTAGTTATAATGGTTAAATGACACGAATAGATAGTGAGGTTGAATATTATGATTGGGAATGAGCGCGGTCAGCTCACCTCTGGCCGCGGCCGCGGAATTACTGCAATAGTTATTGGCGAATATAACGAGTTGAACACACAACCCGACAACGACTGCTGTTTACTTTCCCATACACGACGCACCAGCGAGCAATTTGAACATGACCCAATATAAGCTTTATTTCTTACAGAAATTCAGTTACAATAATTAGCTCTACATTTGCGTAAACATAATTACTTTCCATCGTAACGAGATTGTTACCCTGGCACATGAATATACTAAGAAACTGTTACAAGTCTCCTTGTCGTTGTTTTTCGTAGAAACTGTTCTAAGTTCATGTCACGAGTAATTGACTCTGTTATATTGAATAGAAGGGTTCGAAACATTATTTTAAGGAAAAAACATTTTCTATGTTAGTTATTATACATTGCCTGCTTGGCTGCCTCGTTGGCCGTGTGGTCGCAAGTGCGACCGCCAGTCAAGGGGTCTCGGGTTCGATTCCCGGGTCGAGCAAAATGTTACTGAGTTTTTATAAAAATCACAGTAGCAGCACGGAGTCTGGAATTGTGCCCGGTATATGGCAATAGGCTCACCCCCTATTACATGGGACTCATAACATAGATAGTGAAAAGGGGGTGTTACATTGTACAGTGGCATTAAGTGCCGTAATATGCACCTCTGCCTACCCCTTCGGAGACAAAAAGGCGTGATGTTATGTTATGTTATTATACATTCTAAAAACTTTAAATTCGCCATACCCCATTATTAAGAGCTGTTATATCTCAAAACTAAATCGTATAGACTCTCAACCCATATAGATATACTTAGGTTAGTTTTAAACGATTTTTCTTCAAAATTGTACGACGATTTGAAAGAAGCCATTATTTATAAAAATGTACTATTTCGATCAAAATGTAGTTTAGTTACACTTAGTTACTATAAAACTGTTCAGTATACATTAGTAAATTTGTTATGGTACAGGAAACACCTGTATTAGCGACGGTTTAAGAAACACTTGTTTGTAAGTTAGTATGACTTGAAATTACTATCATCAACACGTTAACGGTCGCGTGGGTCACCGGCGACCAACGTTAGGGAGGATTTGCCTTCAATATTTTCCTGTCGGCATTCAAAGACTTAAAATCATTATAACTATTTTGCAATAATTGTGTATCCGTGTTATCAGTTTTGCTGAAACTAGTTACTACCTAAATGAGTTAAAAGGAATGCACTCATATCAAAATTAGAACTATCGTACAAATATAGCTACATGGATTCTGTTTGACATAATTCTATTATAAACTACGTTTAAAAAACCAACTTCAACCGCTCGATTTTAATTTGGTTAATTAATATATCAAAACCTTCTCTTAAACGTTATAAACACTTTTCTGAAAACCGCATCAACATCGGTTCAGCCAATCGCGAGATAATTGCTCACAAACATACATACATACAGGTCAAATTGAGAACCTCCTTCGTTTTTAAGTCGATTAATAACTAGTTACTCGAGTTAGTTTATGTATATCTGTGTCTCAGTATATTACTTGTATAGTTTATCAATTCCTCGCTACAATAATTATGAAGAAGGTATAAAAAGTTCCAATAACCCGAAAGACTGAGTAATAAAGCGGTCAACGTCAAGAAAGAATTTATTTATTCATCTCCTTGTCGGTTACAATGAAACGAACAAAGAAAATATAACAGTGAACAGTGACTCGCAACAGAACTTTATGTCGATTTAAGAGTAAACAATACAAGGTTAATTTCGTTTGTTTCCGATTATAAAAGATTTTAAATGCGTGTGTTTTCTAATTAAGTACTGAGTCAAGACAAGACAGTGTCATGTACTGTCATGCCAGTGTACATCGACACTGATTTTTATTAGATCGAACTGTTACAGAGTATCTAATAAAATCTAAGAATCTGATTTTTTTTATACCAAACGTTACCGTGGCTTATGTACGCCTGCAACACTTGGGGCGTTACATGCGTCGTGCCAATCCTTAAGAAACCTATTCACTCCTCTTAAAGAACCCCATAGGTAGTGAATTATAATTTATAATTATATATATAAGAACTGAATTATAATTATGCACTTCCATTTATTATAATCGTCCTGGAACTTGGAAATTACATGTAGATTAGATGACAATTCAGTGTAGTAGTACTATAGAATTGGTCTGGTGATAGAAATAGAAGGCCTGCTAGTAAACAATAGGCAAATTCCAGCTGCTGACTAAAGCCGTGTTTTGAAATGTACGCAGTATGTCTATATGTTAGGTAAATTGATTTCCATGTGTGTACACATATACTAATAGTAGTATCAGTCTTGCAACAGTGGTGGGGTAGGTAGGCAACTGTCAAATGTTCAGTTTGATCCAATACTTCAATAATAATTAACTGTTCGTAATGTAATTTTGACTTCGAAATGGAATCCAAGGTTAGGACCGATTTTTCAATCATCAGTTAATTCTTAACTGTAAAATTGACGTTTTATAATTTTAGTGATTATGGAAGAATTGTCAAATATTCATCAGATGAAAGTTATTTTTCAGTTAAAATTTATGTGTTAACTAATTCGATGCCTACTTCAAGTTTTACTATAGAAAAGAAAGTTGCCAGGTTTTACTGTTTGTTGACTTATACTCTTATTTATTGTTTGATACTGAATTAGTTATGTAATGTATTGGTAATAATTGAACCTCGTGTCTGTGGGTCCCGCTTTCACTCGCACTGAATATAACGCCGGATATTGGGAGCCAATTCGAGTCCACATATTAGTTTATCGCATCCCCTGTAAAGGGCCTAATCCCATTCAACCCTCAGTAAAGCGATTCCGTTGCCTTGCCTCAAATGTTCCCTGAATGCTTCGAACCTAAGAATAAGATAACAAATATTTCTGGGCCAGGATAGCCCTCGACCATTCAGCCGTCGGATAATAAAAGGTATTTTTTGAGTACAGAGTACAGCGCGGTCTGGTCGGTGCTCCGTCGAAGGAACAGCTCAAAGTCACGGTCAACTCGTTCGCCAAAGTTTCAATAAAATGTTCCCAAACTTGACACTAGCAACAAGCCCATCTTTGTTCAGGTAGTGATCTTATTTGCCATTATCTAAACCAATAGCCGTCGGTACGTTCGGAAGTGGAGGATCAGTCGCTCTGAGACGTCTACGAAGTTATATGAGTAATTACGACGTTAATCAAATAGAGTGGCTTCTCTCGGAGATTGAATGTTTTATTCAGAGGCCGGCGTTATCTGTGCCGAGTGCTCGCCAGCTAATATTCGCTTTAAACCGCTCATAAAGTTTTACGCGACTACAGCGCGGTGCGGCGCGATGTGGCGCGGCACGGCGCGGCGCGGCCGGCACTCGGCAATGTGCCGCTTAATTAATGCAGCGCCGCGCCGACTCCGCGAGATGCAAATCGGCCTCCGTCAACACTTTACAACGTCTTTGCGGTTTTGCTTCAATTCACTTATCTGCTACCCGAAAGCTTCATGAATAAAGTGGCGAACATAAAACTTTGCCTTAGAACAATACTCAAACTATTAAAACAGATAACTTTCCACGAATTAGCTTTTGTATTGCACGGTCCCGCCGAATGGTGACACTACCTAATGAGATCGTCTGCTGGTGTTCCGGTGGGCCCAATCCGTAGATGTGAGATAACTCGCGTCACTTAGATGTCAGACAGGTATCAACCTACGAACGCTTTGTGCGACATTTCTAGTCACCACTTGAAACTCACTCGGCCCCGATCGGGCGCTAGATAAATCAAAACTTTGTCAACTCGAGCAAGTGTCCGCGGTGTGCACGGCGACTGTGCATTTAAGTCGCAAACAACACTGAAACTTACGGTGGGTACAAAAATCCGTCGCGACAATCGCATGCGACTCAACGCGTGCGTCGTCGCGCGATCATCGCGCCACAGTTGCGGAAGCGGGCGTCCACATAGAGCACTCACTGCGGTCACAGGGCACGATCACGCGCGAGTTAGCGGGAGCGGGGCTCGCGGGGCAGGCGGGGGGGCATCGCGCGACACACGTGCGGCGGACGCGGCCGGCCCGGGACACTGCCGGCGGCGCGGCAGCGCGCGCACCGGGCCCCCG